ATGGCCTCCAACCCAAGAGCCATGGCCTCCAACCTAAGAGCGGTGGTCCATGTAATAGTAGCTATGTATAATATATATATATATATAATAGCTATGTATAGTATATATATACATATGATGTTCTAAGTGTGCTGTTTTTTCTTGTTCTAAGAGTGCTTGCGGTCCATGTTCTAAGTGTGCTTGCACTGGATGTTCTAAGCTCGATGTTCTAAGTAAAGGAATTTCCATTTTGGAAAAAATATGTTCTAAGTGTATGTCTGCAAGTATATATATATGATGTTTGTTATATGATATATATATATACACTATCAAAATCAGTATATATAAATTCATTTCTTGGGACGTGTAGGGCTCCATGGTGTACGATGTCATCTCAGCACAAAGCTCAACGGCCGCGAGGTGATTCCTTTCTTGTTTGTACACCCAACACATGTTTTGGGCAGTAAGGGTTAATTAACACCGCTCAAGGCCTATTTCTATCGCAATCTGACTGTTAAGACCACAGTTGCTGCTCCATTAAGGTGGCAAACCACTTAGGGCATGCAGGCCGTGGCCACTACACTGCGATTTGCAGGCAGCGAGCGGGGAGCGCGGCAAAAGAGACTTGGCATGACTTGGCATGATGCAAATGCAAGAGATGCAAAAGAGGCATCACCTGCACAACCGTTTCTACCACTTCAATGACACAGATGTTCATGAGGCTGGCACCATGATGTAGATGTTGTTCTTTTGTTTTTGTATCGCAAACCGTGTCGTTTCCCCAGCACCTGTGGAGAAGCAGGTCCGGGCAGATGATACCGAGGTCATCACTAGGGAGGTGCTTGGTGCACTGTGTGTTCTCACTGTGTCCTCACTGTGTTGATAGTTGACCTTGAGATTCGAGCTCATTGAATTGGCCAGGCGTACTTGCTCTTTTTCATGCGGCGCGACATTTCAGATTGGGAGACTTGTTTGCAGAATTTGCAGTAATTCACCACATACACCGCATACTGTATAGTAGTGTCACAAGTAGATTAGTAATGTAGGTAGCGCTTGTCAGTATACACGCAGGTACAATAATTGACTTTGCTCCACAACAATCATGAGCGGTTTGAGGACCACGTTGCAGTCAAGCTCAATATTTCTGTAAAGCCGGCTGGGCAATTTATGCAAACTGCAGGGGCATGTTCTATGAAGTTAAGTTATATAAGCTTCCCTAAAAATCTAGGAACCAAATGAATATATAGTGAATAGTGCGAGCGCTTGAAGGAAGCTCCCCCCAGTCCCTATGAAGAAGCGTGAGCTATCCTGAAGAAGCGTGAGCTATCGTGCGTCCATGTAGTAACTTACTTGTAGCTACCAGCTACTAGCTACCTAGCTACTAGCTCTATAGCTACTACCTCCTCTACTTGGCCTACCCCCTGGGCTTAAACAACATCTATGTAGTACTCATTTAGATTGAACTATTGTTGCTTCATGTGCAACGTGCTAATCAAAGTCGTTGTGCTTGTGACCTTCTCAGCTTCAAGCACGGCCGAAAACACAACAGGACTCACAACACCCGTGCCGCACGCATGATTGAACTCTAGGGATTCCCGGCATGCCGGGGATACAACATGATACAACCCTATTTACATGCACTCCCTTTGCACCCTTCACCTGTTGGCCCTGATCTGATTGTATTCATTGCAAAGCTCAGCTTGGCTTGCATACACTTGACTCGAGCTTTAACCAAATTGTATATAGACTCTGCAGAAAGTCTACATCATGGTCTGACAGTCTGACAGCAAACCAAGGAGGCTCAATCTATCTCTCGGCCGGAGGCATCCCAGCGCTGCTTCTTCATGTTTGCATGTAGCAGAGAGCCCCTTTTTCACCCAGATTGAATAGACTGACAGGCATGGCCGCACTTTGTCTCAAGACAGAATTCTGCAATGATGCCTGCAGTCATGTGCTCAGTTCCAATGGCCCAACCAGTTCTGCCCTACATAAAATGAATACATCACCGGTTTGTGGCTGCCTTTCTGGCAAACTGCCTTTCTTGCATGTGCACCTGCTGAGATTTGGGAAGCCGTTGGCAAAAAGCCCCCACCGCAGGGCGGACCGCAGGGTGAGGCGGGGAGATTGGGACCTGAGCGAGGTGGAGACGCAATTTTCGGCGGTTCGGACTCTCGAGAATGGACATGAGAATCATGGGGTGATGGCTGAGTTGGACGGCTTGGCAATGGCTTGGCACGTAAACTTGGTTTTCAGATGTTTTCAGGCCACTGGGAGCTCTGCTGGAGCTGGTGTGATGTTGCCTGACCAGCTGCATGAGGCCATCTAACACTTTAAAGTTGCAACGAACAGCATGTCTCCTTCAACTCATGAAAGTATGAGAGTAGCATTATATATATATACATACATATACATACACTATATAATATATCATGTCTTTTGTCTGCCAGGAAATAGGCTGACTCAGACAGAGTGGCGGGGAGCACAGAATAGCTGGCTCAACAGGAACAGGACCGATAGGCTATAGGTACCGATCGGCACTCACAGCACTGAGGCTATTTTTGGCTCACGGGCCTGAGACCTCTGAGCCGTCACTTCGCCCCCAGGCGAACCAACACACAAAAAAGCATCACATCATCGACTTGACTTTTTTTTGAATAAATAGATTCACCTTGGTAACCTTCTATCACAATTTGAAGGGATTCCAACGGAGTGAGTTCGAATTGAGTCTTTGATCACAATCCGTCGATGCACTTCCTCTAGCTTGCGCCCGAAGGGCTTGAAGCTTGAGAATGTGTGTCAAGAAGCAGTCATCATATGGGTGGGGGAAGAACTGCGAGAGACCTCTGAGATACTCAAGAGTCAATTACATTTGCCATCATCTTCCGCAAACTTCCTCGCCTGGTTTTATGTGTCGAGCTGACACAGCCAGAAGTTGTTGATCCTGCGAATGTGGCCAGGGCATGGTGAGTAGAGCAGCTGTTTTGGGACTCTGCGGTTTAAATTCAAGCCTTAAAAAGTATATGAGTAGTGTAGTGAAGCTGTCCCTGGAAAGACTGCAGTACAATGGAGAGCCACAAACAACTCCAAACCTGAACTGGTAGGGAGCTAGGGTGTCCAGAAAAAAGAGTCTCCTTGCAGTCAAAACTTGCGAAGATTCTCACGTACATGAGCTTGAGACAAGTTGTTCAGCTTGCCTTAGAATGACAACTTTTCCCTATTTGGCTTCAGCTTGCACGCATTAATCTAATCTCTCTTGCCACCAAATCATTCTAGCCATGTAATCTCATCTTGAATCCGGCTCCATGCGTACACTACACAAACATTGATCCAACACCTTGGCAGATTGCCAACAATACTAATACACATCTTGACCCCCCAGCGAAGAAGAAATATGCAGACTCTTTCAGGTACAATGCGATGTTCATCGCGTCCTTTGTGTGATGGGACGAAGCGACACCCCGCCAGACATATCGCAAGGGCGGCTCTTGAATTGCTCCAAGGACGAATGTCTTCATTACTGGAAATGGTTCCGAAAGCTGGGCGGCCGACGTGGCTCTCTTCGGCGCTCCAGGGTGAAGCAGTTCCTCCAGCGAAGTGAATTGAGCGAAGAGATTCTGGAAGCCATCCTTAACTTTGCCTTGGGAGACTTCAACGAATCTGCAGACTTCGAAGTCTTTTGCGTCGCTTGTCGCCTAGTAGCTCACAGCCAAGAACTGGGTGCAGTTGACGTTGCGAAGGTAGGCGACGTCCCGACCAATGCTCCGTGGTTCTCAGAGGAGGTGTTTCAGACAGAGCAGGCAGTGGTTCGCGACGCTGATGAGTTTGACTTTGAAGCGGTAGCGCTGGGTGTGAATGCTCCCTCAGGCGCTCTAGGAAGCTTCTCTTCAACGGAGCATGTTGCGCTGTGCCAGGTGTACCTTCTAGAGCTCCGGAGAAGTTCGCAGATGTTGGATGCCACGGAGCTGGCCACACAGGTGCCCACGACTCCATTTGGAGACCATGATTACTAGTAACAAGAAGCTACTATCTTCTGTGGGCCTACCTAGCTTCTTGTTACTAGTAGTAAGGCCAGGAGCTACTAGTAGCGTCCTTGCTCCTAGTAGCGATGCCCTTTGTTACTAGTAGCGTCCTTGTTAAGTTGCATCAATCATTTGACTATATAATTACATGAAGCGTTTACGAATATGTGCATGGCAGCACCACAAAAGGTTTAGTTCGCCAGTTTGCCAGGAAAGGTTTTCTTTTGTTTGAAGAAAGTACCAATTTGCTGCTATCACTTAGATGTGTTGTGACGATTGAGAAGTTTTCTCTCCAAGCTTTGGTAGAGCGATTGCTGGGCATTGCCACGAGATGTTCACTGCAAGTGCCAACGCGCTTGGTCTGGCAAAGCATTCTTGGCGTGGTATTTGTGTTCCTGCCGCGGGCCAGTTACTACATGTTTTTACCGCAATGGTCAGTGGTTCAGGTGCCGAAAGTGGCAGGAAAGCTGAGACAATGGGAAGAGCTGCAGTGCACATTCCAAGGCCTTGCTTCAGAACACAGAATTATCCTTGAAATTTCCTGCCAGAACAAGTACAAGTAAAGAACTTTCTGAAGTATGACAAGTATGTTGCAATGATTCGCAATTGTTGAAGAATTGAAGGTCATCAGGTTCTGCTCAGTTGCTCGCTAGCAGCCTGGCAGGTGCTCAAGAAATGCCTCGCTTCATGTCCACGGTATAAGCAGCTTTACGTTTCGCCGAGGTGCCCCAGCACTAGCTGGTTGCCAGGCTGACCCCAGGCCCCAGTCAATTTGTTAATGCGCGGAATTTCAAAGGATTTGAAGCTCATTTGGCTTGGATTTGGCTTGGATTCAAAGGGATCCTTTCTCAAGGACGCTCCGATTTGAGCGCGAGTTGCTACAGCAAAGAGTAGAGCTGGATGGTTTGCAACAGACCCATTTAGAGGACAGGACTCTGTGTGGGGTAAACGTTGAGGTGTACCTTTGACTCAGACACGATCATCGATCGCACAGACTCTTTTTTTCCAACTCAAAAGCGTATCCTTGCCAGTTTTCAAATCGCCAGAATGCCATGCTTCACAACCTCAGGATATGTCACGATAGATATTGTTTTGCTTACTTGTTGGGAGCTGTTGTTTGGAGTCTTGTGAATTCCATTAAATTCCATTGTTTCGCTCGGCAAAAGCTTGATTTGTGTATTCTTGCTTGATGGAAACAATTTACAGGAGCGAATCTCGGAGCTTCGCGAACACCTGGAGACTTCCCAACAAAAGCACCAGACCTTCAGGCACACGGGAGTTTGGAAAGAATGGAATTGCACTCTTGGAGGCCATCGCTTCTAGGGTGGAGGACATCGCTAGTAGGTTGGAGGCCATTGCATTTCCTAACTTTCTTGAACTCTTGATGTTTCAGACGTTCATTTCGACAGCTTTGGAAAGAGCTGTGTGTGCACAGTGCACCGCTTTGAGCAGTGAGACTTAAGTAATACAGCAAGTTTCTAAGATACAAATGCGTGTGCTGCGCCTAAAGCACCCAGTAACAGTATTGGTTAAGTTTCCCTCAAAATTAATGCAAGAAAAAACACTCCTGCGTCCAGTTACTAGAGGCTTAAGTAGCTAGGAGCTTGTTTACTCCCTTAATCAAGTAGACACCTGGCTGCCTACTTAATTAAGTAAGGAGGCAGGGCCACGGGCTAAAGGAAAGATTGCCCAGTGGGGTTGCCTTGGTAAGTGGTAAATCAAGATGTCCCACTGTTGGCTTGAAGTCCACATTTTCCTTCTGACCCTAGACTAGACTGAACATGACAACACATATTTATGGGTTGGTTTACTAATACTTACATTCCAGTCAATGCTTAGCCTCGAGAGCAGGTAGGCATTGGCTCAAGTCCTGAAGCAAAGAATCTACCTGCAAAAAAGCCGTTTTGCTGCTGTTGTTGCCAACTGTATAAGGACGCCACGATTGAGGTTTCAGGATTTGTCCTGTATATTGCGCGTGCTGCTATGTGCTGATTTTGAGCAAGCGTGAACTTGGTATGAACTCTCAGCATGAGCTGGTGGGAGTTGGTGCACTGCACAGCCATGTAGCTTGCCATTCACGCTGGAGATGTTGCAATTCGACTTGCAAGTCCAACTATATCAGTTGCGTGTACTTGTAAGGGCCATTTTGGTGCATTGCCTCCAAAAAGTAGACCGAAGCGATTTAACAATCAACACCGCCCAGAACATTGTAGAGGCTGCAGCTTGCTGATTCTGCTGCAGATGCGAGAAGGCTGTTTGCCAATCTAGACTTTGCAAGACAACAAATCGAGGACGGATCCGGATTTCAGACTTTCTGCTGTTTCAATCGGAGAAAGCCAAGGACTTCGAGCGCTTGGTGGCCCGTTTGAGAGAGGCAGACAGCTTCGGGCAGAAGCTGTGAACAATACTTACTCCCCAGCAAACTAACATAGAACCTGAGAATTGACCTGTGGAAGACCATTTTCCTCTACAACCCAGTGGTTGTGGGGTTCCATGTTAATCTGCAGGGGAGTACCAGTTGACTCTCCACACGTTGTTCCAAAGCTTGACAGATCTTGACAGAGACCTTCAGGGAACTAGGAGCGTATTGCAATCACTCGGAAGATGTAGATATTGGCAAAGAAAGCCACCACGGAGCTGAAACCACCTGTTTTGTGAGCCCAGTCTCTGAGCCCCGCAGAGACTGTGGTCGCAGGCCCGAAGCATATACAGCAAAAATGAGCTCGACATTGCAAAAGCAAAGTCCAAGGAAGGTCAGCACGCACTCAGGATCTTACAAAAACATGAGTAGAACACGCTGTATCCGTTTTTGTTCGGATGCTTTGCAGGCGTTGGAGGGCTTCAGGGAACTCCGGCATTTGATTGCGCACGAACTTCTGATCTATTTGAACAAGTCAGGACTGCTGCTTAAAGAGCTTAACATGAAGGTAGATGGCCTAAAGACTTGGAGTGACCAGGAGGGCATGTCGACGAAAGCAGGAGCTGCAAGGGAAACAGCAATTGCTCCTTGCGAACCAACGACAAGAATGCGCCTTAGGAGAAAGACCCTGTAATCTAGACTCAGAGAGCTTCAGTTGGCCTAAGGCCGAGCAAGACAGGAACTATGCGCGTAAGGTGGGCCGCACAATAGGAGCCAGTGCTCTCCTCTCCTCTCTCTCTCTCTCACCAGCCCAGGCCCTGGAAGGAGCCTACAGGAAGCTTGTGGATCTTCAGGTTTCTCAGATTTTCTATTAGTCTACCAGCAGTCCCACCAAAGGTTCGCCGTTGTACAGCACAGGCAAAGCGACTTCAAGTCTGCCAAGATCGCCATAGTGTGGTTGAAGAGGAATGGTCCATGTTCTCTCTCTGTGCAAGTGCTTCTTACAACCAAGGTTCAACACACACATACATATACTGTATTTATATATATATACATAATTACATGTGTGTGTATATATACACTATATGCACATGTTTTGGTTGCTTCTCAGCTTGTTCTTAGAGACATCCAGACCATCCAGAGCATGAGAGCACCTCATGCACAGACCAAAGGCTTCGTAATCATTGCATTCTCTTGTGGGCAGGCATTGAAGCTCGCCAAAGATAGCGGGTTGAAGCCTTCGGTGCTCAAGGACAGACATTATGTGGACGTCTTGCTTTCAATCAATCTCTTCATTTGGGAGAAGACGGGGTGAGGAAACCTAATTACACCAGAGTCAGAAAACTGTCAGTCAGGAAACCACAGCATCTGAGTCAGGAAACCTTTTTGCCAGAGTCAGGAAACCTGGAAACCAGTTCACAATGAAACAACAATAAGATCAATATGTAAAGAAATAAATACGAGGAGGAGCAGAGGTTCAGAGGATGTTTCGACCTAGATCAAGGTGATAAGAGTGTTCATTTCTTTTTTTCTTGCACCAATCCAACGATGTGACAATGTGATTCTCTTTGGGCTTGGCTTAGGGCTTGAGTTCCATTACATCGTCTTTCACTGCGCTTAGGGATTGACTTCTTTAGGGTGTCTTTGGGCTTGGTTTAGGTCTTAGTCTTTGGGTTTGGTTTAGGGCTTAGGTTTCTTTGGGCTTGCTTTAGGTCTTAACTTCTTTAGGGTTTCTTTGGGGGTTGTTTAGGCTTGTTGTCTTTAGGGTTTCTTTGCGCTTGCTTTAGGGCTTTTCTTTTTAAGGATGTTTTGGTACATGTGTTTAAAATATGGGTGCCCTTTTGGGCACGCTGCTTCATGACTCAATAGCCTTGTCCTCGAAAAGGGTCCCCATTGGTCTTATTTAAGGGAGACCTTCTTTGGGCACTCCGTCCCCTGACAGAGTACCAGTCTCCTCTGACTGATTTTCAAACGTTCAATTCCGCTTGTTCCACTCTAAGTTTCCTGCTTCGTTTCCCATCCAGGTTTCTTGACTCACTACCCTTCTCCTCTGGCTCATAGTTTTAAACTTTCAAGCTGAGGTTTCATGACTCGCCGTGGAGGAGTAAGTTAGACACCTTCCAAAGCTTTGAGTTTCCTGACTCCGGTATTCCTGTTTCCTGACTGCGCTGTTCCTGGCTTGTACGTGGTTTCCTAACTCTGCTCCAGTGGTTTCCTGACTTGGTCTCCTGACTCTGTCATCATCCCTTTTCGTCTTGCTTTGGTTGTTTGATGATGTTTGTTCGTCTGCTGAGGAGTTGTGCAGCCAATATCTTCCTGCCGGAGCTGGTCCTGGGAGAGCTGAGATTCCCGGGAGAGCTGAGATTCCCACTCAGGCCAAACCTTCGAAGTTTGGATTTGCGTGGCTGGCAAATCCACGTGAGTTTGAGTAACATGTTGTTTCCTATTTGGCGAAAGATGTTGTGCAGGAGTTGCAGTGGTCGCAAAGTACGGCCTCAGATCAACTTTCTCCGTCCTGCGCTTAGAGTGAAAATTGAGGCTCACAATACTGATACTCCATGACACTCAATCCCAAGTTGGGTGCGTTCATTCAAGGCCAACATAAGAATGTTTAATTTGATGGTACTTGCTTGTATGCGGAGCAGGCTCAATACATGTGACACTTGCAAACAAAAATATACTATATACATTTCGAAGGTACTTTGGTACACAGAGGTTTTTGGCCAGATCTTGCCAGCCTCTGGAGGGTTCTTTTGGATATGTTTCTGCAGCCTTTGGTAGGTTGTCTAGTAACTCATGGACGGACAGCGCTCCAAAAGTCACATCTTGGCTATTTATGCTGTTGTTGAGTGCAGAGACAGACACACTTCATTCTAGCTACCTTAGCAGCTTTGTTCATAAGCCGATGCATTCTCCTTGCTTGAACTGAGGAAGCGCTGGCCAGGCCATCCGTTTTCGCTGCTCCTCCACCAAGGCAGTCTGCAGACCTCGGTCAGGTGCCGTGTCTTCGCGTGACATCTGGACCGCCTTCGCAGGCACAGGGGACCGAGCTTTTTGCCAAGGGTTGCTTCTGTGACTGCCACGTGCCAGGGGACCGAGCTACAGGCTCTGTTGCGGCCTCAACTTTTCAACTTTGTAAAGCCGGGCATTGGGTTAGCCGAGGCAAACCATATTGTGCAAGAGGGCTTCAAAAAGTAGTGTTGGCATTTTTTCAGCATGTTTGTCCACTTTCCAACACGACACTGCAATCACAATAAGATGCACGCTTCATGAGCTGTCCACTTGCTGACGTTTCGGTTCTTTTGTGCAGCTAGCACAGCAGTTGTTCGTCTTTGTTGGACAAGCTAGTTGCTACCTTGGTTAAAAGTTCCATTTGTCATAGAACTTCCATTGTCGTGCAGTCAAGCGTTTTGCCAGCGATCTGACAGTAGAGGAACCAACATAGTTTTGACCAAAGAACATAGAAGGCAGCAAAAGGCCCTTCAATTGTCCCGCATACGTCCGAGCAGCAAAGGCTGCATCGCTACTGGACTGCTTTGGTTTGCAAAAACATGCAAATCCTTGACATGTCACCTGATGGGTGCTGAGGTAATGCAGCCTGGCAGTTGGAATGAACAACAAGCCTTTCATACAACCAGGTGCTACATTGCTCATCAATCATTCCCCTTGCTTTTTCAGCGAGGGCCCTGGAGTCTCTGGTATCACAACGGTCGAGTCAATTGAATACTTTTGGCTTCAGCAAATCACTTGGTGCCTCATGCAGGCAGATGCCAGGGAACGCAAGAGAATGGCAGCCGCAAATGTCTTGACCTCAGCCACAGAGCGCACGGCATGAGAAACGAGCGTGATGTGTGCAACAACATCATCGTTAATTATATATTAATTGTTTCGTTTGCAAGGGAGAAAGAGAGAGATATAGATAGATCATCCTCGTGAACAAAAACCGTCTAAGATCAGGACCTTAAGCATCCATGTTTACTCTAAAAAAGGTCTAGTCTCAAAAGAGTAGCTTAGCATGGCTGATTTTAGACCAGAGGGACTAAAGACACAAGAACATGTTGAGAAGGTTGGTGCTGCTGATTTTTTAGAGAAAAATGTTCATTTTGAGTTTGGTCAAACAAACATCTCAGGTCCTTTGATTATATAGAGGTTTTAGGATTGAAGAGGTTGTGCAGTTGATTCTAGAAAGAATTATGTTGTTGTTTTGCAGTCCTTGGCTCTGCAAATGGTTTACCATCCATGTTGACCTACCCCACGAATCTGTATGGGTATGATAAATAGATAGAGACATAGAGACATAGATACATAGATACATAGACAGACAGAGAGACATAGACAGACAGAGAGACATAGACAGA